AATTAATATCTTCCTGAACAAAGTTAAATTACTCAGAAACAAACACACACACACACACACACACAACGTACATCGATTCATTCTGTCTTCATAGTACGGTAAAAGGAAACTCTGCTTCTCTCAGTTCGCACACTCACATGGCGTAGCATGACCAACACAGTAGACAATGAAACCTGCTGTCATACTGACCACTAGTGTTTCATTAAACAGACAACACACTAATAACATTTTGTCGCACACGCATCAAATGCATTGCATAAATATCAGCTACTCTAACGACATCATTCACGAACGTGCACAATGCAGTATAGTAGCTATATAACTGACTACAGACACAGAAAAATAAATCACAAACAAACATACGAATACACTACTAAGAACGACATAAACACCTTAACAAATCAACATCCCATGTGGCCTGCACATCGTACCCAACGAGTCCCTGAAATGGACAAGAGGCATAGCAGTGCATCCATTCAATCTCAGCCGCAGGAAACGACCCACAGTGAATCAATTATGCACGGGGCAGCTGAACGGCTACTCGCCATAACCAATCGACACAGACCAAACAATACAAATACACACTCATATAAAGCATCAACATACAAAATCTACTCTATATGTGTATACAACTGTCTATGTACATACACACTTTTGTTAGATAAAATGAAACGAACATATCGGACAAGACTATTCTCAATCAGGACACAGCTTCATGTATGTCGGTTGTGATGACAGGGTTTAGAAATAAAGAACCTGCATGTGCGACACGACAAATTATCTTTCAGCCGCAAACAACTGTTCAGCACATATTATAAATGCGATGAACAGCTCCACGGCAAGTCATCACACACAAATAACAAACCAACATTAGCCCACATCACTGAATCACATTTGCACAAAATCAAACGAATCCGTTTCCCTCTCTCCCTCTCACACACTATATATATATATATATATATATGCAGAAAGGAAAGAGCATAGCGCACACGCACACTGAAAATTCGCATGTCATACATGTATGTATTCCTCTACTACCAAGTCTTTCCGAGAATGCAAAATCGCTCGAACACCACACACAAACGCTACTTTAAACACAACGATTCACTGACCAACGCAAAATCTATTTGTCGAAAATTCATTTCAAAACCACCATCAACATCAGCGCTCAACACATACAAGACTAACCCAAAAAGTCATATCTGTTACACACAAGACAAATAACTAAAGTGACATGTCGTCTGCATTCGTACCAAACAAGTCCCTGGAATGGACAAGAGGCATAGCAATGCATCCGTTCAATCTCAGCCGCAGGAAACGACTCGTCGTGAATCCCATATACACGGAGTAGCTGAACGGCTATTCAACATACTATACTCAAAGATCTACGTACACATAATTACACAACAAGTGAACAATCATTCAAAACAACTCATTGACAAGACACTTTCATCATATGCATATATTCATAAAAAGACAGAAACTCAAAACAAATTAATATCTTCCTGAACAAAGTTAAATTACTCAGAAACAAACACACACACACACACACAACGTACATCGATTCATTCTGTCTTCATAGTACGGTAAAAGGAAACTCTGCTTCTCTCAGTTCGCACACTCACATGGCGTAGCATGACCAACACAGTAGACAATGAAACCTGCTGTCATACTGACCACTAGTGTTTCATTAAACAGACAACACACTAATAACATTTTGTCGCACACGCATCAAATGCATTGCATAAATATCAGCTACTCTAACGACATCATTCACGAACGTGCACAATGCAGTATAGTAGCTATATAACTGACTACAGACACAGAAAAATAAATCACAAACAAACATACGAATACACTACTAAGAACGACATAAACACCTTAACAAATCAACATCCCATGTGGCCTGCACATCGTACCCAACGAGTCCCTGAAATGGACAAGAGGCATAGCAGTGCATCCATTCAATCTCAGCCGCAGGAAACGACCCACAGTGAATCAATTATGCACGGGGCAGCTGAACGGCTACTCGCCATAACCAATCGACACAGACCAAACAATACAAATACACACTCATATAAAGCATCAACATACAAAATCTACTCTATATGTGTATACAACTGTCTATGTACATACACACTTTTGTTAGATAAAATGAAACGAACATATCGGACAAGACTATTCTCAATCAGGACACAGCTTCATGTATGTCGGTTGTGATGACAGGGTTTAGAAATAAAGAACCTGCATGTGCGACACGACAAATTATCTTTCAGCCGCAAACAACTGTTCAGCACATATTATAAATGCGATGAACAGCTCCACGGCAAGTCATCACACACAAATAACAAACCAACATTAGCCCACATCACTGAATCACATTTGCACAAAATCAAACGAATCCGTTTCCCTCTCTCCCTCTCACACACTATATATATATATGCAGAAAGGAAAGAGCATAGCGCACACGCACACTGAAAATTCGCATGTCATACATGTATGTATTCCTCTACTACCAAGTCTTTCCGAGAATGCAAAATCGCTCGAACACCACACACAAACGCTACTTTAAACACAACGATTCACTGACCAACGCAAAATCTATTTGTCGAAAATTCATTTCAAAACCACCATCAACATCAGCGCTCAACACATACAAGACTAACCCAAAAAGTCATATCTGTTACACACAAGACAAATAACTAAAGTGACATGTCGTCTGCATTCGTACCAAACAAGTCCCTGGAATGGACAAGAGGCATAGCAATGCATCCGTTCAATCTCAGCCGCAGGAAACGACTCGTCGTGAATCCCATATACACGGAGTAGCTGAACGGCTATTCAACATACTATACTCAAAGATCTACGTACACATAATTACACAACAAGTGAACAATCATTCAAAACAACTCATTGACAAGACACTTTCATCATATGCATATATTCATAAAAAGACAGAAACTCAAAACAAATTAATATCTTCCTGAACAAAGTTCAATTACTCAGAAACAAACACACACACACACACACAACGTACATCGATTCATTCTGTCTTCATAGTACGGTAAAAGGAAACTCTGCTTCTCTCAGTTCGCACACTCACATGGCGTAGCATGACCAACACAGTAGACAATGAAACCTGCTGTCATACTGACCACTAGTGTTTCATTAAACAGACAACACACTAATAACATTTTGTCGCACACGCATCAAATGCATTGCATAAATATCAGCTACTCTAACGACATCATTCACGAACGTGCACAATGCAGTATAGTAGCTATATAACTGACTACAGACACAGAAAAATAAATCACAAACAAACATACGAATACACTACTAAGAACGACATAAACACCTTAACAAATCAACATCCCATGTGGCCTGCACATCGTACCCAACGAGTCCCTGAAATGGACAAGAGGCATAGCAGTGCATCCATTCAATCTCAGCCGCAGGAAACGACCCACAGTGAATCAATTATGCACGGGGCAGCTGAACGGCTACTCGCCATAACCAATCGACACAGACCAAACAATACAAATACACATTCATATAAAGCATCAACATACAAAATCTACTCTATATGTGTATACAACTGTCTATGTACATACACACTTTTGTTAGATAAAATGAAACGAACATATCGGACAAGACTATTCTCAATCAGGACACAGCTTCATGTATGTCGGTTGTGATGACAGGGTTTAGAAATAAAGAACCTGCATGTGCGACACGACAAATTATCTTTCAGCCGCAAACAACTGTTCAGCACATATTATAAATGCGATGAACAGCTCCACGGCAAGTCATCACACACAAATAACAAACCAACATTAGCCCACATCACTGAATCACATTTGCACAAAATCAAACGAATCCGTTTCCCTCTCTCCCTCTCACACACTATATATATATATATATATATATGCAGAAAGGAAAGAGCATAGCGCACACGCACACTGAAAATTTGCATGTCATACATGTATGTATTTCTCTACTACCAAGTCTTTCCGAGAATGCAAAATCGCTCGAACACCACACACAAACGCTACTTTAAACACAACGATTCACTGACCAACGCAAAATCTATTTGTCGAAAATTCATTTCAAAACCACCATCAACATCAGCGCTCAACACATACAAGACTAACCCAAAAAGTCATATCTGTTACACACAAGACAAATAACTAAAGTGACATGTCGTCTGCATTCGTACCAAACAAGTCCCTGGAATGGACAAGAGGCATAGCAATGCATCCGTTCAATCTCAGCCGCAGGAAACGACTCGTCGTGAATCCCATATACACGGAGTAGCTGAACGGCTATTCAACATACTATACTCAAAGATCTACGTACACATAATTACACAACAAGTGAACAATCATTCAAAACAACTCATTGACAAGACACTTTCATCATATGCATATATTCATAAAAAGACAGAAACTCAAAACAAATTAATATCTTCCTGAACAAAGTTCAATTACTCAGAAACAAACACACACACACACACACACACAACGTACATCGATTCATTCTGTCTTCATAGTACGGTAAAAGGAAACTCTGCTTCTCTCAGTTCGCACACTCACATGGCGTAGCATGACCAACACAGTAGACAATGAAACCTGCTGTCATACTGACCACTAGTGTTTCATTAAACAGACAACACACTAATAACATTTTGTCGCACACGCATCAAATGCATTGCATAAATATCAGCTACTCTAACGACATCATTCACGAACGTGCACAATGCAGTATAGTAGCTATATAACTGACTACAGACACAGAAAAACAAATCACAAACAAACATACGAATACTCTGCGAGATGTAATTGAAGACGATACATCACGTTTGTTGATTTAGCAATCGTGCAATATATAATAATTCTTTCATGCGCAAGTTATTGTGTGTGGTTGATTATATTGTGTAAATTTTATTCATGTACATGATTATTTTATTTAGCTATATACATGACCGTCACGTTACATACCCCCTCATGAATCCCGCGGCTACCATTGCTGCAGCCGTAGCAGCAGCAGCATCTCCTGCCGTACCAGGGTTGTGTCCGCCAGTTGTCTGACCACCAGTCGCAGCAAGCATGGCTGCTGCTGATGCATGAGGAAGACCTCCAGCTAGTGCTTGACTAACAGAGGTCGTTTGCCCACCATTGCGTCCTGTTACTCCGGAAGCACCCCCGCCGAAAATCCCAGTTGTAAGTATATTGTTCTACATGAATAATGAATTAAAAGACTATAAAATTTTTAACTTGTTTGTTAAATTAGCGAGTAATCGAAATGCACTCAAGAACTTGGTGAGCTAATGAAATCTAGGAAAATTTATGAATTTGAAGATATTCAGAAAAGGTTTTGAAAAAGTAATAATCTCACTATCATCTTTTCGGAATCAGTTTTTATTAGCCTATATATCTTTCGACTCGCACGACAAAAATATACGTGCTATCATGTTGAAATCAGTATAACTCAGTAGTTAAGCTAAGGTTGGTGTGCTCAGATAGAGATTCATACATTTTGTGAGGGTTTGAAAGGTGGTTAAAAGAAATACAACTATTGAGTTGTACGTTAGGACGAAAATTGAACAGTTGTACTAATTATTATGTTTCTCGAAACCAAGCAAACAAGTACTTGACTAATTATTTGTATCAAACTTAGGATTCATTTGATTTTTACTCATTTTACTCAAACAATCCATTACTTTATGGTTATGCAAACGAAGATCTGCTTCTAGGCATTTCGTTCTCTCAGGACCAGTAAAAATAAACTAAAATTAATTAGGTTGAATTTTCAACTTGACTACTCACATAAATACCAACTCCACAAAGAGCTGCTTAATTTCAGTTAGGTTTGAAACCACCCCGGTGAGTTAAGGTTTTCAAGTGTCTTAATTGAAAAAAAAATTAAATCAGAATAATGGGCATTATACTGCTGCAAAGATGACCACAGGAGTTTAACTGTGAACTCAGTGGTAGGGACTTGTTTGCTGCTTATAACTCGTTTATCTTAACTTATCTTTGTTGTATGCATTTGGCAAATACTTCATTGAAAACTCCAACTTTTTGATTTCAGGCACCATCGCTTAATATTGGTTAGCCAGGGATACGGAGACCTTATTATGGGAACTAACCAACAATATTAGTCAAATGAGAATTCAGTCACTAGTATTTGTCGGCTTTAAATCCAAGTATGAGAGGACTGTGTGGTCGGATTAAAGTACAGGTGTTAAACTTCAAGTTCCAAATATTCCTAGCATTTATTCATTTTGGACTTTTAGTTTAAGCCCATTATTTTATTCTTAGAACACTGAGCCACAAATTTAGGGAAAATCAAAAGGATATATTGAAACGGGAAGTGAAGTGAAGGGAAAAACTTACATGGGGGTAACTCGTATTCGCAACATTGTTCCTACCACGGACCAAATTTAATCCAGGACCTTGATTGCCTACTCCCCAGCCTCCATACTCAAGAGAAATAAATTCATCTGCATTTCGTGCGTCGTAATTCTGGCGAGAGCCCTTAGGTGGGGCACCCTGGGGGAAATTATGTAACAACGAAGATTACCTCAAGAAGTTCAGCTATAGAACGGAGACAATCAAGTACTTTCCCCACATCACCAACCAATTGAATCACTCTGTCTGTAGAGCATGGACACAGCATCTGATAAACTTTGAGAGTATGAAGACCTGATTGCTAAATTTTTCGATAAACGTCAAGGGTTATGAAATACCTCTCGTAATTCTTTGATTTTATATCCAGCCCTTCCAATAACACATCCAGCCTGGCTTTGATGTACAAGTAAACGTAAATCAACTCCGTCATCGCGGTTACTTTGCATCTGAAGAGTTGTGAACTAGGAAATACACATACATACCTTCTCAAGATTTTCTCTGAATATTTCGATGACTGAACCGAGATCGCCATCCAGAACCAAGACCCTTTAGATAGAAAAATATTAGATTATAATAGGTTAAGAAATTTTTTTGGACATGAGAATATACCTCTCAGGGCCATTGCTATCGGGGATGGTAACTTTAACGGAATACTAGTAGTACAAACAAAAGAGTAAGAAATGACCCACCGGGAGTGGACCGGATTAGTGAGTGGTGCGAAAAGCAGATGGGCAATACGGGGCAGGGTAGGGTGGGTTACGAACCATTGGTTTGGACACATTGGTATTCGGACGGGCCAAGAGTGGGGCAAAACCAGAAGAAATGAAAGAGAAAATACACTCACAAGTTAGGACTTAGAAAGTTAGAGGGGAGAAGGGCGAACAATATACAAGTAAACAATTACCTCCTCGCGAATTTTTTTAATATTTTCACCCCCTTTCCCTATTATTACACCAGCTGCCTTTAATGAGTTAAAAATGCCAAAAGTGGACATACTTTGGTCGATATTAGGAACCGCAGTTCCACCTTCGGCCCTTCCCCACGCCTCATACTGTAGAACTTCCTATGCGAAGCCGTCAAGTGGAACTCGTAAATCCGTTACCTAATCCCTAAGTCGACTGTACAACCAGAACTTCAATAACCAGGGAAACGTAAGGCTATGCATCAACCATAGCCCTGGGTCACCTAGTCAACAAGATAAAACAACTGTGCAATGTCCAACATCTGATAGACATGGCAGGAAAAGTTTGAATCAGGAAGCTCAGCTTTTCAATAATTTAACCGCTGACATTCATGTGATCTAAATGGGAGAAAGACACCACACACCAAAATCATTTTAAGAAGGACAGTGGCATTTTTCCTCGCTGAGTAAATTCTATTGTTTTGATCGTTTATTACGTATCAACACTACTATTTACGCTTTATTTGAATTCATTTCAGTTAAAGTATTCGGTTAGAGTATCTTTTTGTTTCTAAATTAGTTTGTCATCGGTACTTTTGACTACTTTGTTTTCTATTGTGTTTGTTAGTACTTTTGGTTCTAACAATCTCCACATTTCTGGTCATAAATCATTTTTGTCTCTAGGTACTATTGCACCTAATTTTTTTGAAAAAGGCCTCTGTTTGATGATTGGACGGTGCAAAAAAAGCAATTGCCAACGTCTGGGCTTTCGATATCCCGGCATGCAGTGCGATGAGTGCGAAGGCTGGTACCACGAAGTTGGCATGAACTTGACTCCTGAGGCTTTCAAACGGTTCAGTGAAAACGGTTGCGTATGGCTTTGTCAGCAGTGATGTTCGGACGCAAACAGCATGCTAACCGAGGCCATCTCAATGGTAAATGCTGCAAAAAGTGGTTTAGCACACACATCGAACAGCACTTGCTCTGTCGACATGTAAATCGATGTGAAGCAAACTCAGGTGAGCTCGAAAAAACCTGACTCACGCCGACCAAAGGTGGAAAGACAGTCCCCAAAGAGGTCTGTCTTAGCTAAAGACTCAAGAAAATAAGTTTCTTCTGTCCCCCGTCCAGCAGGAAACACTTAGAAGCCTCAATCGCAAGGCTCGATCGGTTTCTAGCAAGAAACATAACCTGAATTCCCAAGTCGTCGACAAACCTCCGGAATACCATAGTATGCTTGACGCGACTGTGGTTGCTATTCCAACCATGGTTGACGAATTGGTACAGGTTGTAAGAAAAAAACGATATAACGATATAAAAGAGATATCTACCCTCCCAAAAGTAGTCGAGAATCTGAAGACTGACCACAGTGACAGGTCAGTTGTTTTTCACAGAATCAAGTAGAGTGAAAGCTTTGAACCGAAAACTCGTTTTGAGCACGACATTATGTTGATCAAAACAGCTACTGAATCAAATTATGCCTCAAAATATCTCTGGAGTCACTTTGCTAAAGGCGTATAGATTAGACAGTCAAGCGAACTTGAAACCTGATCAACACAGGCTGCTTAAAGTAGTGTTCAAATCTGCAAACGAATGGGACTTAATTTTAAAGGATGTACATAAATTAAAGGGTTCAGTTTTTGTCCGTAAGGACTTGCCACTGGCAGACGTGTAAAAAGACGGGGAGCCGAAAAAGAACTACAACTTAGGTTAGATGCTAGCGAACAGTACCTAAAAATTGTTAATTCTGAGGCTTCGACAGAGAATAATACCGAAATCACTCTGGGTAAAGCACGAAGCCATTTAAATAGGCTCCGGATCTGTTACACTAATACATGAAGCTTACACAATAAGCGATCGGAACTAGGTGTACAGATTGACTCTACAAAGCCAGACATATTCTCAGTCACAGGAACCTGGCTGACATAGTCCACAGATAGTATGGAACTTGATTTCGAGGGTTTACATTAGTAAGGGCCGATAGAATGCAAAAGCGTAAACGAGGGGAAGTAGCCCTATTCATGAGGAATTCTATCCAATTTGCCATTATCGACAGTGTATCCCATGAGAGCGGGACGTGTGAATTAGTTAGTTGCCGCGTGAAATGCAAGGGACAAAATCTACTGATTGGTTTGGTCTATGCAGTCCAAGCTGTGAGGTAAATAAGGTCTTGCTAAGAAGTCTCAATATTTGGTCACAAACTGATTGATGTCTTATCCTAGGGGACTTTAACGTACCCATGGTAGACTGGAAAAATCTGCGAACTGAATCGTCAGATAATTCCTTCAAGCAGGAACTAGTTAATGTGGTTATCACATGTGCCATAGTGCAACATGTGAAAGAAGCGACTAGGTACAACCCGGACTCTCAATCCTCCTTACTAGATCTCATACTGACTCATTATGAGCATGACGTTACAAACCTCAATTACATGCCACTCCTGAGTAAAAGTGATCACACAGTTTTAAATTTTGATTTCCGTACAATTGTCAATCACAAGCACGCGTCAGCTCAATGCAGACCTAACGACTGGAAAGCAAACATACAAGATATCATGCACTCAGCATCGTCAGTAGATTGGACAACAAAACCAGAGTCTTCAATCGAAACGGCTTGGGACGTATTTCGAATTTTATACTTAAAAGTTACCACACCACACATCCGTTGGACTAGACCAAAGGGACTGAGAAACTCTCTACCATGATTCAGTAGGGAGGTCCGCATCCTTCTCCGTAAGAGAAGAAAAATGTGGGAGAGATTTAGGTTACTGGGGACCGATGAGACAAAATCTCATTATCGAAAATCTCGGAATGCTTGAGCTTCGACCCTGCGTAAGTCTAGAAAGTTGTACGAAGAAAAAATTGTTAAGAAATTCATAGAATGTCCTAAACGCTTGTATTCCTATATAAAGCAAAGGACAACGAGAAGAGGAAATATTCCTGCACTATGGGGAGACAGTACTGCTTCATCTTCAGTGGAGGGTGACTTTGGTAAAGCTCAAGTATTCTCAAACTACTTTAAAAATTTATGTACCATCGAAACACCCTTTGCGTCAGTCCATACAAATCACCCCACACGAACACTGAACAGCGTGACCATAAAGGAACTCGATGTTTTTGGTCTGCTAAATAAGCTTGACATAAGTAACTCCACGGGGTCCGATGAATTGCATCTTAGGCTACTGAAGGAATTATCTAACTTCATTGCGAAACCTTTAAGTATATGCTTTAATCTATCCCTTACGCAGGGTCTTTTACCAAAAGACTGAAAGAACGCCATAGTAAGTCTTGTCTTTAAAACAGGTACGAAACATAAACCTGAGAAGTACCGACACGTTAGCCTAATTAGTGTAGTTGTTAAAATCTTAGAAAAGATTATTCGGAAGGAGCTGTTTAAGTACCTCAATGAAAGCCGGATCCTTTCGGAGAAGCAACACGGTTTCGGAATAGGTTATTCCTGTCTCATCAACTTATTAGTCGCTCGTGAAAGCTGGTGCACTCTTAGGGACCAGAAGTTACCTGTAGACGTAGCCCTCATTGATTTCAGCATAGCTTTTGACAAGGTTTCGCACAACCGGCTGTTATATAAGCTAAGAAATGTCGGAATTAGAGGCAATCTATTGATTTGGATAGAAGACTTCCTAATTGGGTGCCAACAAAGAGTATGGGTGGACTCGAAGTTATCTGGCTAGGAAGCTGTGCTTATTGTAGTGCCCCACGGTACAGTTTGGGGGTCAGCATTATTCCTCTTGTATTTTAATCACTTTATTCGTTCACTATCACCATCGGTCTTGCTATATGCCGACAATGTCAAGATATGGATAACGATACGATGTAAGGGTGATAGCTTAGAAATCCAAAATGACCTGAAGAAATTATCTGAATGGTCTCAAACCTAGCAGTTGCCGATAATTACTTCCAAGTGTATTGTGATGCTTCTTGGTCATCAAGGTACAGATACATACGCGATGAATAACACTGAGCTACCTGTTATCCAGACATATAATGACTTGGGAGTCATCGTTAGACAAGACTTAAACAGTACTGCAAACTGCTGTGCAATATCCACCATAGATTTTGGAACTTGATAATCAATACGTGAGGCCTTTAGTCATGTCGACGCTAAAACGTTTTTGACTTTGTATACAGTGTTTGTGCGTCCTAAACTTGGGCACTGCACACAAGCGGCTAGCCGCTGCTTAAAAAAAGGCAGTGAGTTTTTAGAAAGAGTTCAGAAAACAGCAACTAAGCTGATTCCCGGAATAGAGAAGATTCCGTATGATGCTCAACTGACCAAGCTAAACCTATTCCTGTTGTCATAAAAAAGAACTACAGGACACTTGATCACAGTTTTCAAACTGCTTAGTGATAAATTTGCACTTGATTTGCCCTCATTTTTCTTCCAAAACAGAGAATTTACGAGGACACTCCAAAAATATTCAAAAGTCCTGAACGAATTACTTGTCATATGACTATCGACTTTCTCATGGAATCATCAACGAGTGGAATTCATTACCTCAACACGTAGTGAAAGCTCCATCCGTCGACTCTTTCAAAAGAATGTTAGATCAACTGAGAGACCACGATTGCCAGGAATAACACGGGCCATCAATTCTCCTGTCGTTTTCAAAAAGAAACTAATCTAATACTCCTTGGTGTAACGTTTACTGGGGCTTTTAATGTGAATGACGTTTCTCTGATCGATCATTAATTCAGATGTGAGAGGATATGAAAATACTGCTAGATATGCCATATGTGGAGCTCAATCTTATCAGAAGCATTTCAAAGGAACGTTAAGAGACGTTTTTCGCGGAGGAAACACCACTGTGCAAGGCGGTCAGGAAGATACGGACCATAGTGATTTAGTCAGTGATATCCAAGAGCGGAAGTCCTTAATGCAGTCAAATAGGCCTGAGAATATGTCGTGGAAGGGGCAGGAACCACTCACTTGTAAAGCCCTGCTCATGAAGGTTTTCTGTTCGTCTAAATCAGGCTCAGACAGACAGATATGACAACGACACACATACGTTTCAACTTTGGAGATTTCGACCTTCCTAAGATTAATTTCAGTGGACACATCAATACTTCATCCCATTACGTTGTTTTATGGGATTCTTAGTTCACACTATAATTCAAATACTTCCAATTATCATATTGGCATCGCGATTGAGCCTGTGATGGAACGGTTGGACATACATTCAGAATTTGATGCTTTCAAGGCTTATTTTGAAAGTTTCGAAATCTGGGCTATGACCAAGAAAGGTGATGAGGATGTTACTATTGTAGCACATTTCCTCACATTCATCGGAAAACAAGCATATAGCTTATTAAAAACTCTTGCTTTACCAGAAAAGCCGATTTCGCTTTCTTATACAACTCTCAAGGATCTACTGCTAGACAATGTTATGTATACAAATTTCGAATGTGATAAAGGAGGAAGATTTCGTAAAATGATTCACGAGGATAAAAAAATTCCACTGCATTACG